CCCGCGTCCCCTCCCCGGCTTGGTGGCTTCAGGAGGCGGCCGGGGGGGGGCTAAGGAACAAGGCCGGCAGCCCCCAGGCAGCCTTGGGGCGGGCTGACCGCTGCCCGGCCCGGCTAGGCCGGGCGCCGAGCCCTCCTTGCCCTGGGGAGCGTGAGGTGACCCAGCCGGGAGGGACCCTCACCTATAGAGGAGGTGCCTGCGCACGCACAATCCGTGCGTTAACCTCAGGGCGCTTTGCAGACCCTGCTCGGGGTGCCCCGGTGAAGATGGGGAAGCTGAGGCAGGGATGGAGGGCCCCAGGTCCCGGCCTGCTCACCAGAGCCTGGATGGGCGCAGGAGGCCCGGCAGGCCCTTTTCCAGCCTCTGCAGCCCCCGCTCGCCTGATTTACACCACTGCCGAGCTGGGTCGATCAGCAGAGCTCCCTGGCGCTCGTCCCCCCTCCCCGTGTACTGGCTGCGGCCACAGCTGGTCGGCCACGCTGCAATATGGTTATTCATCAGCTCGCAACACTGCAATTATATTCCTCCTGCGCTTCAGTCACCTTGTTGGCTGCTTGCGAAGTTTCCAATTCATTTTAAAATGCTTCTCGTAACCCCCAAGTCCTTTCCTGGCCCTGACTCATTCTCCCTGGCCAATTCCCTTTGCCTTTGTACGTGGTGTTCAGGGCTGTTACAGCCCAAACACCAGCGAGGCACAGCCCGCGCCCCTGATGCGACACGCTCCCTCGCTGCGGAGGGACCGGCACAGCATCTCCTCTCCCTTCCCTGCACCAAGCTGGGTTGAAGTCATTTACATTCTCCCAAGGATTTTAATTGGCCTCCACAGGCTCAGTAATTATCACAACAATCTCATTTTACTGTGCAGAGCCTTGGGAGTCTCCTTTCACCCAGCCTGGTGCTTCATCGCCGAGAGTGTCTCCAGCTGAGAGCAGTTGCCTTTTGGACTGGGCAGCAGTGCAGGTGGGGGGATCAGAAGGGACGGGGGGGCACTTTCAGGGCTTGGTGCCTACTTTATTTTCCCCCACTGTGTGACAGACCCTCCACCGGCTCCTCTGGAAGACAGACCATGGATAACACAGCCCTCCCCATTTGCATGGGAGGTAGGGTGCTTTTATAAACATGGTATAAATGCAGCACGGGAACTGTTCCCATTCCCTTTCTCCAGCGCTATCCCACCTTCCCTGAAGCACCCCCCAGCCCAGCCATCCTCTGGGGCTGCAGGGCTGGGGAGGGGGCTCAGACCCGGCTCAGATCCTCCCGCAGCAGGAGCAGCCTCTCTGTTATCCTCTTCACCTGTGTCCCAGTGCTCTCAGGTGCCCATCACTGGTTGTGCTGGGTTAAAACCCCAGCAGGCAGAAGAGACTCTGGTTTGAGCCTGTGGTTTGAGCCCTAGTAAGCCTTTGCTCTGCTGTGATGCATAGCTGCTCTGCTTCTCCTCATCATATCCAGGCTTGTGCCTGAACACACACAAGCTGTGACTCCGGTCCCCTGCGTGCAGGAATCTTACAGCAGTGACCAAAAACCTTCAGCAACGTAGGGTGGTAAGTGAGGTTGCTGCTGCAGAGGTTGTGGGCAGGCACGTCTCCTGGGGCAGAGTTGTGGCTCTTACTGCTTAAAAAAATCCAAAACAAAACACAAAAAATAAGCAAACAGACAAAAAAAGCAATGTGTAGCTGATGCTGTTGCATTTGTAGGGGTGGCATCATGGTGTTTGATGGGGAAGTGATTTTCTCCCTGGCAGCTATAGGGGACTGAGCTTTATGTGCCTGCAGCCACCTGTGTGGGGCTGCAGTGTAGGACTGCAGGGCCCAAAGTCCAGGCAAGAGGTGCTGGGAGGAGATGAAGTGAATTGTGGCACTTGGTTTCTCTTGCAGTTAGCCACAATGAGCCTTTCTGTCTGAGAGGAAATAGCTGGAGGGAGGACAAGAAGCTTGTGTGATTTTGGAGGAGAGCCTGCATGGCCTGCCCGTGCCTGGGCACTGCGGGGTTTGCCTGTGCTCCCATGCTGGCTGGGTTTAATCCTATCTTGGGCAGGGATCTCTGCTGTGTCGCATTGTGGTGCAGGACTCGGGTCCTGGATGGGTACATGCAGCTTAAACTAGCATCCATCCTGCGTGCGAGCTGGGGGTTCAGTCTGGAGCCCCCCTCTCTAGGGTGTGCATGGGGATCTGCCCTGGTTGAAGCCCTTTCTCAGTCTGACACCGAGCACAAAGTGTTTTTCTGCTCTGCGCCGCAGTGCTGGCGCGAGCAGTGCCCGGCAGCCCTGGCCCTCAGCTGCCCTCTGTGCTTGGCCAGCACAGCGCTCTGCGCTGCCGTCTGCTGCCTTGGCTGCCGACCAGCCTGCCCGAGAGGTGCCCCATGATGCAGAGATCTCTGCCCGCATCCCTTCCCTCGCGGCGCGGCAGAGGGACAGTGCTGGGCGACCCTGGCATTGCCCCCAGCACGAGCCGTGCCTTTGGGTACACCCTCCACATGTGCAAATGTGTTGAGACCCGCGTCGAGTGTGTTATCGTTGCAGAAAGCAAATAATGGCTGCTGGGCTTTGGCAGAGAAGTCTCCGCTCCCAAGTGTGCGTTGGATGTCGGCATTAAACTTTATGGTGTTCAATGCCTCATTTAAAGAGTGTGACTAAATGTCCTTCTACCTCCTGCTCGTGAGGACACAGGAGCTTAATTTTATCGCCTTGCTAGTCACCAAAGTCAGGGCTGGACTATTTCTGGGAAAAAGCTTGTGTGTGAATGAGCTCCACCCGGGGCTGTCAGAAATTCTCCTGCCCTTCAAAAAGGGAAGGAAAAAACCAAAATGTACTCCCCGCTTTGAGCAGTTCCTTTTACCGAGATGCTGCTGTGTTCCGGCAGTGAGAGTCATAGCCTTAGCCCTTTGCACAGAGCATCAGAGATGCTCTCTTTGGGATGCACCATCTTTGCTGTTGTGGGCACAGGGCTCCCCAAGTCACCCTGCCATCACCTTCCCATGGCAGTTCACGTGCCGAACGTTGGCTCTGTTAGGGTAATCCAGACCATGGCCCTGTACTGTGTCCCTGTTTCCCTTTCCCATCACCATGTGCATCCGTGTGGGGTGGTGCCCGGCGGGGGGGTCCCGCTGCAATCCAGGGC